CTGATATACTCGCATCGATTTAGCTCTCATACCCACTCTCAATCTTTCCCTTCAAAACTCAACAAATAACAACTCTCTCTCACAACATCTCTCTGTCTCTCTCTCTCTCTCTCACTCTTTCTCTCTCTCTCTCTCTCTCTCTCTCTCTCTCTCTCTCTCTCACTCTCTCTCTCTCTCTCTCTCTCACTCTCTCTCTCACTCTCTCTCTCTCTCTCTCTCTCTCTCTCTCTCTCTCTCTCTCTCTCTCGCTATGAAGCGTCTGTTCTTAGTTAGATTTTGATATCCAAAGCATAGATTGTGGTTGTGACATGGAAGTGGAGAAGAAGAAGAAGAAGATTGGGCCGTTATTATAGAGTTAGGCCTAGGCCCATAATATTTCACATCGGCTTATACAATTGTGTAGAGTAATATTTTGTATTGTGTGATGATGAACTTGTTAGTTGTTGTGTGAGTGTCTATCGAGTTTGTTTTTTGTTCAATTTGTTTTCTTCACTTCAATATTCATAAAATAATACTAACTTTTTTGTATGTTGTTCTACTTATTTTTTTTTCTCTATTTCTTTGTGTGGCTATATGGGTTTTGTTTCTAAAGATCTAGGAGTACGTGAGAAGAGCCAATCAGCATTATTAGAAGCGTGTGTTCTTATATAATAATTTGAAGCTACTGAAGAGTGTATTATTTAGAAGTTTGTGTTCTTATATAACTGAAGCTTGTGTTCTTTACAAGCGTGTGTAATTAACAATGGGTCCTTTCTCTGTTTCAGATAGATTCATCATCATTTCCAAATAGTGAGGGACATGACAACGAAACAACTGATTCTGGCAAACGAAAAGCAACATATGACCCAAGTGGAGCTACTTCTCAACCAAAAACACAAAAGGAGCAAGGCGAGAGGGCTGAAGTATGGGAGCATTTCACAAAACATAAAGACAATCGTGATATGTGTGACCGTCACTATTGCCATCATAGTTTATCATGCCCTACAAAATCAGGGACTTCACATCTGAAAAGGCATTTGAGAACGTGTAAGGCTTACTTGGCATGGCTGGATGGTAATCAAGACAATACACAACAGCAAAAACAGATTAAGCAAGAAGGAGGTTTGAAGGATGAAAGAGTTTCTAAATTTGTTTTTGATGCAGCTTGTGATAGGAGAGTTGCCATTGTCTTTCATTGAAAGTGAGGCTTTTAAGAACTTATGTAGTATGGTTAGCTCTTTATCTTTTCTTTTCTTTTTCATAACAAAAATATAGTTCTTTCTTTATGTTTATTTGTCTTTCATACCAGTGTAACTTGTACCAGCCTCATTCAAGAAGGACAACAACAAGAAACATAGTTGAGATGTATGTGCAGAGAAAAGCAGGTTGAAAGGAATTGTTCTTGAGTAACAAGCAAAGAGTCTCACTCACCACAAACATTTGGGTGGCTTCCCCAACATGTAAGAATGAGAAACTGCTAGTTTAACATTGGTAAAATCGGTTGTGTAATGATGTTATTTGCAGGTGCTAGTTATATGGTCATCACAGCACATTACATTGATACACACTGGCGGTTGAAGAAGCTTATCATTGGGTTTAAATCCGTAATAGATCACAAGGGTCAGATTATATCAAAAGTTCTTCTAGAACGCTTAGCTGAGTGGGGAATAAAGAAAGTTTTATGTGTCACGGTTGACAATGCAACATCCAATAGTTTAGCTTTGAGAAATTTTGAGAAGATTTTTGCTGAAGTATCTCATGATTCTTTAGTATTAAGTGGAGAATTCTTACATATGAGATGTAGTGCCCACATTATTAATTTGATTGTGAATGATGGATTGGCTGAAGTGAGTAACAGTGTGGCTGCAATACGTGATGTTGTCACGTATGTTAGATCCACTAAACATAGGCTAAATTCATTTGATCTGAAAGTTGATGCTGCGAGAATTAAAAAAGGTAGCTTGACAATGGATGCAAAAACTCGTTGGAATTCAACATATTTAATGTTGACAAAGGTGATTAAGTTTAAAGCGGCATTTCACAAGATGTATGCAGAGGACAAGCCATACAACGGTTATTTTTTAGAGCTTGATAATGGAAAAAAGAAGATTGGACCTCCTGAGATGCTTGATTGGTCAAAATTTGAAAGGTTAGAAAAATTCCTTGCCATTTTCTACGAGTCAACAATAGTTGTTTCAGGTTCTACTTTCGTGAATTCATTCAAGTGTTATGGTGAGATTGTGGACATGTGCACAAGTCTAAGAGAACTGAGTTAAAATTTTGATCAAAAATTAAAGAAAAATGCAACTAAAATGTTAAAGAAGTTTCACAAGTATTGGGAGGGCCTGAAAAATATGAATAAAATGTTAATTGTGGCCACTGTGTTTGATCCTAGAAAGAAGATGAAGTTTGCTGAGGTGTGTTTTGATGATCTATTTGGGAAAGAAACTATAGAGAATAAGGAAATGCAAACATTAGTGAAAGATATTCTGCGTTCTTTGTTTGATGAATACAGCTTACAGTTGGGTACAGCTACAACCTCTAAAAACTGTCAGTTTTCTCAGACATCTCAGTGCAATCAAGAGCAGTCAACTGAAAGATGGGATGACGATCTCGACCTGGTTTCTAGTCGTAAAAGAAGAAAGGTGGAATCTAGATTTACAGAGATGCATAATGAGAAAGGAGTTAAAGTATCGAAGGATGAACTCGATGTGTATCTAAAGGAAAGTTGTGAGACTCTAAATGTGATGCATGGAATGGAGTATGATGTAATGTCTTGGTGAGGTCAATGCCCACAAATATCCAGTTTTAGCAGAGATAACTCGTGACGTACTTGCAGTCCAAGTGTCATCGGTTGCATCTGAGAGGTCATTCAGCACGAGTGGAAGAATCATATCGCCAGCAAGGAGTTCTCTAACTCATTATATAGTGGAGGTTTTGATGTGTTTAGAGCAGTGGATGAAACAAGATATTTCATTGTCATCAAAAGTGCTTACAATTTCACAAATAATTGCTGACATAGAATATGAGGAAAAGCTTGAGAAAGGTACATTTTATTTATGTTATGATGATGCGTTTTGAAGTTTCTTTTATACATGTCTATTCACATTTTTCCTTGTTTCACCACTTTACAGAGTTTGAAATTCCTTTCATAATAGGCGATTAAACTCCAATGCATCAATGTATGAAGGTAATATAAGTTCAATTATTGCTCATGGACTTGTTAGTTGTTACATTTCTGAATTTTGGTTATGATTTATTAAACATCACAAAAAACAGGAACTTGAACTTGGGTATTTTATGCTCTTACCCTAAGTGACAATCTTTGTGCGTATTGCAGGGACAGAAACGTCATTTTGAAGCTACCCACAAAAACAGAAGTAAATATATGTTTATCATTGTTGCAGATTGAATAAAGGGTGAGTTAAAACTATATACTTAGTTGACTGAAAAAATAAGAAATCAGCTCTCCTTATTTTGTTATTAGTTATCTCTTTTGAAAGTTAATTAATGACAATTATATCTTTTATGTGCGGTAATGTAACGCCCCAACAGCCATCTCTCCCAGTGAGTTCCACGTTCACCATCAGCCTGTGGACCCATCTCTATGTATAAATACTTAATTTTTCAAGTATTGAGGGTTATTTTTCATATTATCTTTGAATAAATAACTCTTCTATGTACTTAGATTCAGTTGACCCAAAAGAAAATGACTAAGTAGTTACATGGTAATTACGTGAATATAGAAAAAAACCAAGATTTTCTCCTAGTTTTCCAAGTTTTAGCATACAAGAAAAGTTTGTTTTTGTGTGATTACTTTATAAAAATTGCCGGAGTTAACTCTAAAAAGAATCTATGTAATTTGATGTCTAAAACTATTGTTTGCTTTGTTTTAGCTCTAGGTTGGCCCGGCTCAAGCAGGGTGGGTAGAGGGGCAGCTGCCCAAGGGCCCATGCACTTTTCAAAAAAAAATCTAAGGAATCAGGACCAATTTTTATTGAAAATTAGTAGAATAGGGGCTAAAAATAATAATGGGTCCATGTAATTGAGTCCATTTTCGTTTTTTTTTTCTTTTAAAATGTGAAAAAGCCCAGTTATGGACCAAAAAAATTGATTTTTTAAAATATAAATAAGATAAAAAAAAAAAGCCAAAAACAAATATTTGCCCAAGGGCAATAATATATGTTGAGCGGGGCTGGGTCTGACCGTCTGACTAATGACTATATATGTGAAGTTACATGTTTTTATCTTCCCAAACGTGAAGAACAATTACATGCCATAACTAAAAGCAAAAACGTTTACAAAGAGTACACTTTTAGATGCTAATCACTTACTCCTTGTACATTGTTCTCAACTACACAGACCAAAGCCAAAGTCCACTTATGGTAAGAACTAAGAACTCATGCATATTCATATTTAGAAGAGTCTGCAAAGTCAGTTGAGCTATTAGCTAAACTTAACACAACAATAAAAGTAACATTGATGTGATAAAACTGATAAGCAATCAAACAATATGAATTACATATTTGCCAAAAACCAAAAACCATATGAGTAGTAGTATTTCTTTCATGGGAAGTTACTAACACTATTCTCTAATTGAAACTCTAATCCCAATCCTCATCATTTATCTGCCATTCATCATCATCATCTCGCGGCGGCCTTACGACCAAAACAACCATTCCTAAACTCTCATTCACTCCTTTCTCCTTCCACACTAATCCTCTATCCAACTTCATCTCACCATCATCCAAAACAAGATAGTAGTATCCATTATCAGCTTCCACTATCTTCTTCTCCCTATCAATCACAACCATTATCCCTTCTCCTTTCCCTTTCCATGGCAAAACTTTCCTATCATCACTAAACGAAACCGCAACTCCTCCTTTCGTAACCGCCACGACGGGAGCCCAACCGGGTAATACAATCCATCTACTCCAATCTTTCTCAGCTTCCACAACACCAAACTCTCCTCCACTTTCAAACTCCATTGGAGCTTCGAAAAGCTTCTCTTCTCCTTCCTCTGCTTTACAAACAGGTAAAACCACAACAGAACTCGCTCCAGCTACTTCTCCAAACCTCAATCTCACTACAGGTACACGAATAATCTTGATTTCTTCTTCTTTAGCTCTCTCTTCTTCACTCTCTCCATGTAACTCTCTCGCTACCGCCTTTTTCGCTTTCTCTGTCACCGCGGTTTCAAGCGCCTGTTCGAGCAATGTAGTTCGAACCTCCGATGGACTCCTATGTTCTCTACTTTTCCTATAAAGCATAAAAGACAAACAATCTCCAGGCAAATTATAATCAAAATCTCCAAATCCAACATCTCCACGACGATGAGGATAATCCTTAATCGCTCTCGCAAGATCTTGAGCTCCTTTCATGTCGAAATCGTGATCAACAATGTATTCAGCAGCAGCTACTCGTTGAGCGTTATTCAAAAGTCGAATCTCGTATAAACGCTCGGCTCCATTGTTATCAAACGCAGCAATTAGCTCCGATTTAGCACCAGATTGAACTAAAGAGTCACGAACCTGAGCACCGACGATGAGACGATTCTGTTCGACGCCGGAGAGTCCGGTGAGTTCTTCGATTGATGGAGGAGTAAATCCTTCGGTGTAAAGAGATGAGATTAATGGAGCGTATTCGAACCAGAGACCGAGACGATCGGTGAGGACTTCGATTTTTCCGGCGGTGTCGAGTGATCGGAATTTTGGAGGAATCGGTGATGGTGGTGGACGGAATGGTTGATAGAGCTGTTGTTTCGGTGGAGCTTGACGGTTTGAGGCGGGGATTAAGGCGGCGTTCATGGTGGTGAATGGTTTCGGGTAAACGGGTCGGGTATTGGAGAATCCATGGGTTTTGGATCTGGTGAAGAGTGACGATTTGAGAGTTGTTGCAGTTAGAGAAAGCATTTTGAGAGTGGTGAAGAGAGTGGAGACGATGATGGTGTTACGTTACCTTATCATCTTCGTTGATAAAGAGATAAGAGAGACTCGGAGTTAAACCGGAGCTTAACCGGAGGTAAACCGGAGCTAAACCGGAGTTTAACCGGAGTTAAACGGATTTAAACAGATTGAACCAATTTGGATTTAAGGTATATTCTTCCTCTCTCTCATGTATCGATACTTTTGAACCCGATACAGTATGTATAATTTTGAACCCGATATTTAATAACTATAACCGGTTGGGTTTTTTTTTTAATGAAATTGAGCCATAATAATAGTAATACCTAATTTAATAATCATATATATTTGACTAATATTTTAATCTTTTTTTTTTGTCATCAAATAAATGAATGATCAGCTCAAATGAGCCAATGTGACGGGCAATTGTTTATATACTTGACTAGTTGTAAAATGGCCCGAGCTTGTCGAACCAAATAATCCGCTTTTACATTTAAATTTTTAGGAACAAACGATAAAGAAAAGGACAAGATTTTTTCCCTATCAATAATGATATCATCTAGGTAGACAGAGAAAACCGGCCAGTCAGAAGGAGAAGACACCATCTTCACCAAGTTAGAACAGTCAGTAACGAACTCTACATCTCTAAAATTGTGGCCAATCATACATCGCATGGCCCACACCAGCGCTTCTACTTTATCAAGGAGAGGAGAGAGGCTTCTGCGGAGATTCTTGGCACCCATTTTTGGCGAAGGCTCCTGAGCATGCTGACAAAACCATCCCAAACCAGCACGTGAGTCAGAGTCCTTCCAAGAACCATCGACAAAGCAACGATAACCAGTAAACATAACTAATATTTTATTATAAAACTAAAATTATTTAAATTATGCAGTAAGTATATATACTTTCTGCTTAATTGTATGTTTAACATACAACAAATTATAATTGTAATTTTCATTATTTTTTATTAGTGTAAATTCTATTATTTTTCATTAAATAAATACTCATTTATTCATTCAGCTTATAAATATAAGAATTTTTGAGATATACCTCTTTTAGTGTACCTCTTTTCAAAAATACCTCCTTTATTTATTTTTTATTTTTTTTTTGGAAAAACACATGATTTCATTCATTCAAACTAAATCAAGTACAAGGATAAGGATTCAAAGACCCCAAAGTTTATAGGATTACAAAAAGAGGCATTACCCAATGCCATAAACTCATAGATAAGAAACATCGAGAAAATATCCACGAGAGCTTTGAACAAAACGCTATGGAGCAGTTTAGCACATGTGAGATCACGGTTGGTTAAACAGTCACCTTCAAAGGTTTCGATGGATGACAAAGTTGTCAAGGTCATGAGACTTTGTGACGAGAGCCGGCCTTAAGCACAGGCTGGTGAAGCACGTGATTGCGGCCCCAAAAATATATCTATTTTATCGGCCCTATTTTTGTGTAAAAGTCTTGTTAGTGTAGTGGTAAAAGTGTTTTTAAATGCATTAGAGTTCTAGTGTTCGACACTTTTCTCCATCATTTTATCAGTTTTTTTTTTGGGCTTGTGGCCCTGATATATTGTGTGACGGCTCTGTTTGTGACGTTAATGAAAGAACCAAAGCCATGGTTCTCGCTGTAGCAAGAGGCACTAACACAAGAAGTGCAATGGCAAGGATTCAAGGGACCATGATTTTATAGTCTGAGGTAGATTGCCTTAAACCCGAGATGGTGCTGAAAGAGAGTTTCTTGATGCCGTTGGATGAGCAAGTTGGATTCCAGGGCATTAGACAATAAAGCTTCAATCCCTTAAATACAGACCGTAGAGGTAAAACTAAAACCAGAATTCGCCAAGGATAAATGTAAAACTGTAATAGTACAGGTGGGTTCTCTCTCACATGGAGCCCTTGGCCAATGAGATTAAGAAATCCACCCAAAGCATGTAGCCGGTTTGACAAAGGAATAAAGGATACATGCTTGGTCTTTATAGTTTTTTACAACACGAACAAGGTTAGGGTGATGGTGAATTTGTGAAGTTGGAAGCCGCTAGATGGGTTCGGGGTAGATAAGCCATGAAATACCAAGTTTTTAATAAAACCAGCATACAAGTTCACCGATTGAGTGAATACCAGGGTTCTTAGATGATTTTTGTAAAGCTCGCAATGTTTAGTTGAGTGGTGTCTTAGATGGAGTCTTCGACCATCGGAATAAGACCACGACACTATAGGATGCTTAGACCATCCACAATGGGAGAGACCCATTGTGGGTTCTTTAAAATATTTATAGTATAAATTTTGAAAAATTTGAGATGAAGAGTTTGTGATGGGGTTTTTAAATTTATTATGCAAGAATGGTAAGAACTTTTAGGTTCTTTAAATTTATATTTTAATTTAATTATTTTAAAAAAAAATTCATGGTGAAATTAAAACCTAAATGTTGATAGATAAGAATGGCACCTAGTTAAATTAGGTCACTGATTATGGCTGGTAGAAATTTATGATTCTATATATATAGAAAGATTTTACAGAGAAGTTTCAGGCAAAATAGTAAAAGGCATGGTAACAAAATTGATGTCTTGGATTCATAGCTTAAACATAAAGGATACTGAATTATTTTATTGCTTAAGACAAACAAGAGCAGAAAAGCCTTGTGCATTACTTTACTAGGTTGTATACATTATGAGAGACTTAGCCTAGGAAGATCGACCAATATATTATAAGACCAGTGATCAGTGATCACATTATTCTCATTAACAGTTGCTTTCTTACAGCACTAAAGAAGCACAAAACATTAGACCCATACGACATAATACATAAGAATACACACAGTTGTAGACAGCAATGAAAAAGCTACTACTTTAAAACAAGAAGTAGGAGGAACAGACAACAGATTGGTGATTTTTACCCAGATGAGACGTTTGGGTGTAGGCGTGGAACGGTCAGGTGTTGGCGTCGACCCTTCAATGCGCAATGGTGAAGAAGGAGTGCATGATTGTAATGGCCGCGACCCGGTCCAACGCTTCTCTTGTTGCAACTGATCGTCGCGTAAACGTGTTAAGTTAATCACGTCAAGTAGGGTACGCGGTTTAAAAATCCGGGTGCCACTCGAAATCGATTTGTTTAACCCGCCCATAAAGGCGCCTACTAGAGCTTTCTCCGTCCATCCATCAACTTTGTTCTGTAGGCGCTCGAACTCTCGTTGAAACTCCAATAATGATCCTTTTTGCTGAATGTGGCATAGTGCTTCGTCGAAATCCTCGCCATCCATAGGTCCAAACCTGGTCCACATTTCTACTTCAAAACGCTCCCAAGGAATCTGGTGAATATGTAAGTTGAGAGCTTTAGCTTTGGCTTGCCACCAAAGATTGGCTTCCTCCGTGAGATGATAAGAAGCAAAACCAACTCTTTCTGCCCTTGGCATATCATGGTATGCAAAATATTGTTTTGCTTTGCTCATCCACTCTGTTGGATCACCTCCGTTAAATCGTGGAAAATCAAGTTCGTTGTTCCGTCCCGGTGCTGATGCGTTATGGTCCCCTCGTAACAATGGTGTTTGCGGATTTGCTCCCCAACGGTTGTCGCCTGTTCCGCTAGATCCCCCGTCGCGTTCCACTAGCATCATCTGCATGTTTTCTGTCATCCGGTTAAGGGATTCCTCCATTGAACTGTTGAAAGTGTCTCCCATGGTTTTGAATTTCTCGTCTATGATGGTGTTAAGATCATGGATCTCCCCGCGAACCAAGCTCATGTTAGCTTCGAGGTTCTCGATTCGTTCCTTGTTGGTGATGTTGGCCATTGAGACCAATCCGTGCGTGAATGGAAGATGTTTGTAACGATGGTTTTATGGTGGTGGAAGAAAGGAAATGATGAACGGAAGGTGGAAGATTTTTTTTTGTGCTCTGATACCAAAATGATAACCCTTAGGTTAATTTCAGTCACTCTTCAAAGCAAGAGAAGGAAAACAAGACTCGAGTATTTGATTGGTAGTTTAGACTACCTATTTTTGTCGTTTTCCATTGATATAAATAATGCAAGTACAAGAAGCAAATGAAACAGAAAGTGGAGTCATTGACTCCTACATTGCAGGAAATAGGAAAGTGGGGAATGATGTCAACAAACCCACGATGACATATTCTCTTATTGAAATAACAAAGCAAACAAATAAGTCGCGAGACTTATTCAATCGAGTTACTTGCGATTTGGCTGACGTGGACGAGAAGATCTTCTTGCTGCCACATCACCCAAGTCATCACGTTGGATCCTATCAATACTCTCGCCGTCTGAAAGAACCTTTTCATCAAGGTTCAGCATGAATTGAGGAAAACTCCGGCGAAGTTGCTTGAGGTCCTCCCATGTCGCTTCATCCGGTGGTAAGTGCTTCCACTACACGAGAACTTCTATGGACCCGTCTACGGACCGTCGTGTTGCTGTCACCAACTCAGGTTCCAAGCTCAAGTAACCATTCTCGCGTAAGGGAGGAAGCTCTACCGAAACAGGATCGTCGTCACCAAGTCTTTTCTTCAGTAATGAGACATGAAAAACTGGATGGATGCGCGTACCGTCGGGAAGTTGAAGACGATACGCCACAGCACCGACTTTGGCGAGAACCCGAAATGGACTGTAATATCGATTGGCCAGCTTCTGGGAAAAGCGTGAGAAAACGGACTTCTGGTGATACGGTTGGAGGCGTAGGAAAACCCAATCGTCGACCTGATATTCCACATCCCGACGCTTGCGATCAGCTAGTTGCTTCATTCGATTGCTGGCTGCTGCCAGATGACGTTTTAATTCGTCGAGCAACTCATCACGGCTCTGCAACTGTTCATCGATTTCCTCAACAATAGTAAAAACTGGTTCATAACGTGGCATGACCGGCGGTTGTCGACCATACACAGCCTCGGTGGTTGAAGCTAAGTTTGTTTGTTCAATCGTTAAGTTACACTGTTTTACAGGGATGTGCAAGGGGGACAAGATGAGCTGATTTTGTGAGACGGTCGACCACAACCATAATGACGGTGAAGCTATTGGATGGTCGTAGACCAGTGACGAAATCC